GAACAATTCTGAGTAAAAGACAACAAAACTAAAGGCATCACATTACCTGATTTCAAATGTATTGCAAAGCTATAATAATCAGAATTGCAAACACAGTCCTGGCATAAAATAGATGTAAACCAATAATACAGAATTGAGAGCCTAGAAATCAATGCAGGCATTTATGGTCAGTGGATTTTTCAGGAAGTTGAAAAAAAAAAAAAGTCAGCGTCTTTGATATAGGGTATCTGCAAAACTAGATCTACCTGGGCAGAAGACTAATAAAATTCAAATCTCGCACCATGCACACAAACATTAGCTTAAACCATGCACAAAGATTAGGAACTGAGATGTAGCCCTAGGGAAAAAAATTAGGAAAAGCTTCACGAGCTTGGTCTAAACAATGATTTTTTATATGACACCAAAAGCAAGAGGAACAGAAGAAAAAAATTAAAAATAGGATTACATCAAAATCAAGATAAATGGCTAGCCAAATAGCTCAGTGGATTAAGGCGCCTGCTTAGGCAGACGCAGGGGCCCAGAGTTTGATCCCCAGCCTGCTGTGCTGGCCCCACCTCTGGGACACTCTGAGACAGCAGTTGAGACCTGGCGTGGTTGGTTTGGCCTGTAATCCCAGCTCTTGGGAGGCTGTACACAGGCAGATCACTATGAGTCCAATCTATGCAGTGAGACCCTGAACACCCTGTACACCCTGTCCTCAATACAATCAATCAATCAATCAATCAATCAATCAATCAAAATAAAAGTTTCTATTCAGCAAGAGGAATCATCGATAATGTGAGACGCCATCTAGGGGCCGGAGCGCACATGTGTGCGCGGTGTGCAGCGGGGCAGAGCATGGACCATTGTAGGTTGCAAATGCGAACTGAAAAATAAACGCAAGTGGGGAAAGGTGCCCTGGAGAGGGGGAGAGGGAGAGAGGGGAGGCAGGCAGAGGAAACAGCGCAGCGCTGGCCCGCAGATGCTTGGAAACCCTGCGCGCTGTGAAGATGTCCTAATAAAATAGTTTTCAAAAAGTAGTGCAACAAAATGGCTCTTATTTTGTACAACCAAAGCATCTCATATGCACTCTCAAATGCCCTCTGCCTCAGCGGAAGCGCCACACGCGGCACCCTGGTGCTGCTAACCAGTCGCTGCTTTACATTAAGTGAGTTTGTGACGTAAGAATAAAAATATAAGGAGCATGACTCAATAGCAAGGAAACAAATATCCTGAAGAACATGATCGGCAAATGATCTGAACAGATATTTCGCTTAAAAAAAAAAAAGATACAAATGGCCAACGAGAATGTGAAAAAGATGCTCAACGCGCGGCGGCGGCGGTGGCGGGGAGACAGCGGTCTAGGCGGCGGCGCGCCTCCTGCCGGGACAAGCTGCGACACGACCCAGCGTCCCGGGCAAGAACGCGGGGCAGAGCCGCGCGTGGGCCCCGCACTCGGCGCTGCTCCCCGCAGCCGGCCCCACCCGACCCGAGCAGCTACCAGTGGACGTGAAGACAGAAATGTGGTACTGACTGTAGAGAGAGACTGCAGTGTTTTTTAACTTTTAAATTTTAATTTACGAAAGATGAAGACAAAATTTCCTAACAAAATAAGAATAATAATAGCTAATATTTGGTATATCGGTATCTTCAAACTAGTCATACAATGTTTTAATGAAATTCATTAATGTGAAATTAGATACTCTGTCTTTTAAGTCTATAAAGAGGATTCAATTAATACTAATAAAATAATACTAATAATTATGTATTATTAATATATAATAACCCAGAAGAGATTATTTCAATTTACTTATTGATAAATTTATTTATTTAGTACAGGGTCTTGCTACTCAGCTCACACTTATAGTCCTCCTGCCTCAGCCTGCCCAGCACCGGAATTACAGGCATGTGCCACTACATCCAGTTTTGGGGCCAGCACAGTGTGCCCAGGGTTCCAGGGCCAGCATGGCTTGCAGTACCAGGGATTGAGTCCAGGTCTTTGCATGTGCCAGGCAGGTGCTTAGACTGCTGAGCTATCTCCTCAGCTCAGTATATGCATAATTTTAAACAACTAAATCATGGGAAATAATAAATAATTAAATGGCAGTCATTTATTTTCAGTTATTTCGGAAAAAATAAAAATAACTGTTTTGCTGTTTTTGTTCTTTTGTATTTTAGGGAGGGGTCTACAGGGTGCTCAGGGTCTCACTACTAGATCTGACTCAGAGTGATCTGCCGGTTTACAGCCTCCCAAGAGCTGGGATCACAGGCGCATGCCAACCACGCCCAGTCTCAACTGCCATCTCAGTGTGCCCGGGGGCGGGGTCAGCACAGCAGGCCCGGGGATCGAACCCGGCCCCTGAGCCTGCTTGCAGGTGCTTTAATATGCTGAGCTATTTGGCCAGCCCAGAAATAACTGTTTTAAAATCACTGAACCAAGGTCATGTTTCTGTATCTTGTCATATAATCTGTTTTACCTTCAGGTTTGTGTAAATTCATTTTAAATTTCACACAATCTATTTCATAATAACTTTACAGTTATTTAATGCTGGATATTTTCTAAAGAAATTTTAGAGGGAAACGATACGCTCTCACAAGTCACACAGGACACTGAAGCATGCGGGGTGGAAGGGCCTGGCTGCTCGGCCTGGCCAACCAAGCACACGAACCGACACAAGCCCCTCTCTTGGCGGCCAAGCCTGAGCGCACAGCATCCGCCCGGCTGCCAGCAGGCGCTGACAGCGCCGCCCTCCATTCACCCAGCATTTGTTGATGCTTCAGGGTTTCCACTTGTGAGCTGTGAAGACCACACAGCACAGCGCCTCACCTTAGAAACAGGAGAGAGGCAGGTGAAGGAGACAGAGGTTCAGGCTGAATTCCCTGAGCGCCTCTGCAAGGAAGGAATCCTAAAGAACAAATGGGAATGCGTGAAAAGGGAGCAAGAGGAAGACAGAAGAGCATCCTGGGTAGAGAGAGCTGCACTGGGCAGAGGCTGTGAGTGTGCAGGAAGAAGGTGCTAGCGGCCCTGAGGACCATTCAGCGGGACACGGGCCGGATCAATGGCGCGGGCGGCAGGGGGGGAATCGGGATCATCAGAGCGCATGCTGCGCTGGGGATTTCATTTTCATGCAGAGCTCTGAGTAGGGCTGAGGGACCATGCAGGATGGTGGACCACTGTGGGTGCGTGGCTTTGGAGCTCTTTTTGAGTTCTAAAGATTGGAAAATGAATTCAGAGTCCATCAGGTCAGGCGAGGAAACCAAGGGGCTCAGCTACGACGGGGTAGCAAGAAGAAGAATGGGCAATCAGGAAGCGGCCGGATGGCCCGGGAAGAACTGAAGGAAGGCAGAGCTGACGGTCAAGGCCTAGTGTTTGACCAGAGACATACATGAGATAAAGGCTTCTGATGGGCTGGGTAAATAGCGCACTTCTCTGCAAGATAAGGATGGAAGGAGGTAAGGTGGGTTTCTGGAGCTAGATGAGTTCAGCTTTACAAACACCGAGCTCACTATGACCGCAGGACATCCCGCAGCTGTGATGTGTACAAAGCAGCGGGACAGAGAAAATTCCCCTGACTGTCACGCTGCATTTTCAGTGCGGGTGTCAACTCTCGCGGGCCATTAGCTAAATTACTACAGTGCACATGGTCTGCTCAAGAACATCCGAGCGATGTGTCTCACTTCCTTACTGGCTCTGCTTGCTCGATGGAAAGCATGCACTTGCCCACAGGATCATTCTGTGCATGACCCTAATGGAGTACGTTCATGTGGCTGGCACCCAGATGGGACCAAAGCGCCACCCGGCAGACGCTGAAGGCAGTGTTCCAGAGCCTTCTTCCATCAGCCCTGCCGCCTGTCGCAGCTTCCCACGTGCATCCTTCCTTGCAGCTGCCCTGGGGTCATCTAGTCCTAGCTTAAATCAAATGTCCTCTGGCTCCAAGTCCCATGATACAAAAATTTATAGAGTCTTGGACACATTACAAGTTTTACAGCTTTACAGCTGAAATCTTTCAGGTCTTCCTGATCTACTGAAGGAAAAAAATATGTTTTATTTCACTGTGATTCCCAAATGTTTTCCCAGCGTGTGCATTTTTCCAATAGAATGTGCTGGTTGCTTCCAGCAATGTGTTTTATATTACCTCAACGAGTAGGGAAGCTCTGAGAGAAGGAAGCAAGTTGGTTCTGTTGCCAGTAAGAGAGAAAATAGAACTTGCTATTGAAAGTGTGTTGGTTGGTCGAGTCTATGGACTATCGGCTTGTGTTTCTTGCTTACTGGGTTCCCCCATACAAGTCAATGACTCCATCATAATTGGATACCATCGCTTCTTGGTGGAGTTTACATGCACATGTTTTCCCACCATGTGCATATGGATACATGTATATGTACACATATACTCTATGTGCTGGTAAAGTCCAAGATGTAGTTAGTTCAACACCCTTAAACTAAGCATTTCCTGGACAATGAACAGGTTCACCAAATATATTCTGTGTGAGCTGGATCCAGACTGTTCCCCCAAATGTCACCTGTGAAGAAGTGGGGCTGGTGGAAGGCGACTGGGTCACAAGGGCTTTAATTTCATCAGAAGGTTGTCCACTGATAGCACAATTCAGTGGCACCCTAGGCAGTCAATAAAAATTGAGGGCATGGAACCTAGCTGGACAGACTGCATCCTGGGGCTGGAACTTGTGACCTCTGCCTCCTCTTTGTCGCCTTCTTTGAAGGCATTCTCATCTTTCTCAGGCTCTTGGCTGCCATGAGGTATCCAGCTTTGCTGGGCCACACTCTTCCACCATGGTTCTGGCTGGCCACAGGCCTAGGCAGTGGAGCTTCCTGACCACGAGTGGAAAGCTGAGACCATGAGCCAAACCTTTCCTGCTTTTAGCTACTTATGTCAAGTGTCTTGGTCACAATGATGAGCCACTAACTAAAACATATGGGAAACTTAAAGTCTCTCTCCCTGTGGGAGATCCTAAGCGCCATCGCTGTCGTGTAGCCTGAATGTAAGAGATTTAAAAGAGCTCACCTTGACGATAAAATCTGCTGTCAGCGGTCCAGTCATTCTCAGTGTCTCTTTGTCTGGATATTTCTGGAAGTCCACACTGGAATTATCCACAAGAAAGGTGCCCGTAGAGCTGAGGCTGTTTTCACCTTTAGCCCCCTGGAGGGTTTTGGTTTCCAGATCTGCATATCAAGAATATGAAGAGGGGAGAAGCATGTTCCTGGCCCACACAGATCACAGGCAAGCACCACGCACACAGCAAAATGGAGAAGGGTGCAGAGGAGAAGCGGCGCTCATTATCGGGCCAGCAAATTTGCTATCGTGACGTAAAGGAACATACAGGCAGTGCAGAGTACATGGTGCGAATAAAGTTATTTTAAGACTTATTAGCCAAAGCATTCGAGGAGCCCCAACTACGTCTTTGATGTTCCAGATGAGCTCCTGTGGGTGCCGCACTGTGTCACAGCTCTGTCCCTTTGGCTGGTCCGTCTTCTACAGCTACTTTGTGGATCTGCGTCGTAATGGCCATCAGCCTGGGCTATTTCTCCACTTTCTCGTGCTGCTTTACGAGACTCGCGCACCTCTGAGCTGCCTCAGTGTCTGTGTGACGATATATTCTGCATTTATTTTTAAAATACTTTTGGTGGCTTACTACTATATGCTATCACTCAAGAAAACTGTAGTGGCTTCAGGGACAAGGGCTGTCCATTTTCATGCTTCCTTTTAATATCATTCTGATACTCCAATGTTGTACGTATAGGGGATGTTTCATAAGTGCTTAAGATAGAAAGAAGAATTTGATTTGTGGAGCATCGAAATCTACGAAGCATCTTTTGTCGTAAGAGATAAGAGCATTTTGGGGACGATGGTGGCTATGATGAGTGGGCCAGAGGACGCTAAGTTCTCAAATGATTTAGAGTAAGTGTTGCTGGATGAAGGAAGATGGGCGGACGGAGGCTCTAGGTTTTGGTAGCAATTCTGCAGCAGGACGATCGGGGGCTTGGGTACAGTCAGAGCTCCTTACCCAGCTTCAATCGAATAGCGTGGCTCACGCCTTTTGTTGCGTAGCATCTGGGTCATCAGTGGCTTGAAGGTCTCTAGAAGGAACAAGGTACCAGGGCCTTTGTACTGTCTTTGTACTCTATTTTCTTAGAGGTCCTGTACTGTGAGTTCTCCACTAGATGGGCTATTAACAGGTGGAAAGCACTGGCCTTCCACTAATGACAGAGACTCTCAGATGAAGTCTCTAGAGCTATGCTTGGCAGCATGTCCGGCTTCAGGCCCGAGCGGACCCTACAGGAGAACACAGACCACCCTGCGGGCACACTGGCGGAGGGCATCAGCTATTGTTAACAGAAGAAAGCACCGGAGCTGGGTCTCGTTCATCCAGTTTTCGCCCCCCCAAGTTGCCTAGCATGCAGTTGCAGAGAGATTTCCAGAACATGAATCAACTTAGTCTGGGGAAAATCCCGGGGTCTAAGCTGAATCCAAGCATCTGACTCAGCTTCACCCAGAATGCTCCCGCTGTCCTTCTCGAGGTACTGCATTAAGAGCGAGCTGGCTGGACCAGATGCCTCGGCGGGCTCCGATCTGGCCCAATGTTTCGTCAGCCTTACACTGAACCAGCTTCTGGGAATGAAGGGCAAGAGAGCAAGAACAAAACAGGGCACTGCTCACTCCCACGCTTGCTTTGCTGAGTTATGTGCCAAACACACAAAATGAAACAGCACTGTTTCTAGCTACACGTAGGCTACCCACAGCACGTCGAAGGGGGATAAAAATTCAGGCCGCTCGTCATCATTTGTGGTTATCATTTGTGGCTCTGCCCATCAAGCCCTTAGGAGAATGAAACCAAACAAGTCCTCAGTTTCTCGGTGACCACATACTTAGCTGCTGTGGGAAGCCCATATATTTCTGAAAATAATTTTTCTTTTAAATGTTCTGCAGTGGCAAGCCATTCCCAGAGTGGTGATGGCCACGGCGTGCACATTTCATTTAAGTGTCTGTCGGTGCTCACAACAATACTACTTTGAGTGGGCTTGTGTGACCAGCAGTCAGTGCTGTGCAAGCCTCGGGGGGAAAAACAAATCATTTACATGGTGGTGGTCACGCTCGTATATTGTCTTTTGACAGTGAATACTTACTTTATGGGGTTGTTCAGGATTCAGAAAGAATTTGGTTCCAAATAAGGTGACTTATCAGTGAGTTTTGGTTTGGTTTAAACTGTACCCTGTTTATTCTTTTATTTCACATGACCCGGCACATTCCATTTCTTTAATGGAATGTATTTATTTTTATTTTTAGAAGGAATATGTTTTTATTTTTATAAAAGCCATGTTTTCACATGCTCTGATTTGCCTTCCCCTTGTTTACCTTCCTAGCATGATTTCATTTATAAACCTACTGCCAAACACTAAGCCTGCTACCTAACTCAGCTTCACAGGCATGTGAGTGGAACAGGAGGAGAGGACCCATGGCCTCGTGGGAGTCGGGGGCAAGCAGGCCGGGGGAGAACAGGAGTGCTGAGGGGCCAGTTGAATGGGGTCTCTCGGTGAGCCTGAGTTTCACAGATGAGCCAGAACACCCTCCCTTCGTTTATATCCTACAATTTTCTTATTAGAATTGATAGACCTGCATCGAAACGGGACAAAGCAGTAACAAAAATAATACAGCTGAGTGTTGTTGCCGTGGTATGAGAGCACAGCAGGCCTCGCCCCGGCCCCACGCTACCACTTGATCTTCGCATTCTTGGCGACTTTTGGTCTTGAATTCCAAGATATGAGGGCCGTGAATTCATGCCTGGTGCACTTAATTACCCTGCAACGTTTTCTTTAAATGCCAAGTGTTAAGGTTCCTCTACGTTTCTCTGAGTTGATTAAGTAGTGAAACATGAAGTTAGGAAGTAAAAGAACGTAGAAGGAAATGTTGGAGGGAGGAAAAGAAAAAAGATAAGAAAAAGAGACTCGAGAGAAACAAGAGACAGAATGAAAAATAACATTCACAAAAGCATCAACATGTGCTTAACCCAGGACCAACCCGCTGGGACCATCCATTTGTGTTTTTCAGGCTGACTGTGGTTAGAGATAATTACCACAGAAGTTTCCAAAAGATAAACAGAAGCACTCAGAAGGCCGTATTATGATAGCGTGGAGAGATGCTTACTCTTGTGTTTTAAGCCCTTCTGGGAGCAAAAAAAAAAAAAAATAATGGACAACATTTCCAAGTGCCTCCCCCAGCCCACTCCTGCCCAGCCCACTGGACTCACGTAAGTGATCGGGGCCTTTCAAGACGAGGCGAACGTGTCGGCTTCCATAGGGGATGGCAACCACCGTGTCGTCCGCTAGGAGGAAACAGAGCAGTCTTAGAAGCAGGCCTTCGACACGAAGTTATCAATTACCTCCCACTCAAAGGAGTGACTTAGCAGACCTCAAAAACTGACAATTGTTTTTGTATGTGCTTGAAATGGGAAAGCCAATTAAAGTTTCTACCTCCCCCGCCATTGGTTCCTGTAGGAAGATTCGGCCTTTGTAAGAGAACATGACTTTTGCTATGTTGAAAAACAGATTGGGAAGTTTCCCTTTTTGTATTTAAAATGGTCTTGTATCATCAAATTTCCTGGAATTAGAGCATTTGCATTGAATTAAAACATAAAAATACATTCTAATGTTCAAAGGATGAATTTATGATATCAGAGCTTGGACTTCTCCCTGGCATATTATTTTGGATAAGGAGGAGAGATAGGCGGAAGGGACCACGCATTTGCCTTCATGCGCTCAGGCCCCGGAGGGAGGCAGAAGCCCGGCCTTCCAGCACGACTCTGTGCCACACTCCCGCAGCTAGTGCTGCAGGTAGTGAGCGGCCCAGCCGGGGCTAGTTTCATTTTCTCACACACAGCTCCTCTTTTTTTGAACATTCTTTCAGAAAACTGCCTGAACCACAGATCACTTTGCTACACATCATTTTTTCCTCAGTTTTGTGTTTTGCTGGTGGGCGTTCACAGTGCGTGGTGGCTGTGGTCCTGGGCTGCTGCCATAGGCCGGGCTCTCCTCAGCCCTGCCCCAGCTCTTGGGCCCCCTCTCGTCTCATCTGCCAAAGACACAGCTCCCAGTTTCCACGTTCCATCTCTTATTTTGCTCCTTACTTATATTTTGAGTTTCTCACATAAGAGAAACCACGTGATATTTGAACAGAGCCTAAGTCTATTAGAAGTGGGTATTTTAAAGAAAGTTAGGGAAGATCACACACACCCAAGCACACCACTAGGCCTACCAGTCAGAACTCCGCCTGTGACAAGGCCTCACAGTCACAGGGCACTACAGAGCTTCACTTCCATCTAAATATACCACCCACTCCTGCAGCCACAGCTCGTGACATAGGCAAAGGGGATTTTATGATGCAGAAATGCAGCCTTTGAGAAGCACAAGGAGGGCTGGAGAGGTAGCTCGGCAGTCTAAGCACCCCCCTGGCAAGCACAAGGTCCAGGGTTCGATCCCCAGTACTGCATGCTGTGCTAGGGTGGAGCGAGACCCTGTACCAAATAAATAAAAGAAGCATAGGAGGAGCGGACAGAGCCCAAGTTCTGAAAAGCTCCCCAGCATGTACATAAGCGTCTTGGTCTCCAGATCCTTGCAGCCCTGCACATTATCACTCTGTCATTAGAACAATTTATTTTCCATAAAAACCCTCAAATCATCCAACTTCTCTGAACTTCAACATTACCATCTTGCCTTCTGGGAGAGTTTAGTTAAAGAAGTGAATCACAGAAGTTATCTAACTTCTCTGATCTCCAGTATTCTTGTTTGTGAGAAACAGTAACAGGAAACTTCCAGACATTGTTGTGAATAGATGCAAAGGCTGGGACCGAGTGGTCCCGGGAAGGCCTCGGGTGTTGGAAACGTGCCGGGAACGCGGACGCCAGGCTCCGCACTGCCGCGGTGGCTGTGGGCTCCTCCGATGAGCCTGCCACCCATGGACTGAAACCTTTACAACCAAGACACAAGAAAGCTCTTCGCCCTAAGTGTGGGCTTTGGGCATTGTGCCTCAGCAACATGGAAGGTGACCAAAGTGAATGTGTCACCTGAACATAGCAGGTGTCTGTAAATTATACTTTCTTCCTCTATCCCAAATTTCTAAAGAATAAGAACTGAAAGATTGTTTAAAATTGTGTTTTTAAACACTTCAAGGCCCCCAGCTCCTTACTTTGTGACGGAAGGAGACAGATTGTCTTGATTCTTGCCATTAAATGGTTACATTTATCAAGTTCTCTAAAATATTGAGAATTCCACTCACACCATAGCCTTGTAGCTGTTTTTAATGTCATGCACTGTTGAAGAAAAGGCTGAATTTCAGAAAGCTAAGAACTGATGGCATGTAAGAATACTGGAATGCAAGAGGACAGTAGAAAAGGCTCACAAGAAGTGCTAAAACCGCTTACAGCCTTAAATGCTTTGCAAACCGATGTGAAGTTTTAAGCTGGCAAAGGAAATTCAAAGCACTGAAAACAATGGGGCTGCTACAAATAGAAAGTCTTTGTTTACCCACGGGTCAAATAAAGTGCAAGCAAAAGGCAAGCAGCCCGGAGGACCCACGTGGCTCGGCTGCCTCCCTCTTGCTTCGCTGAGAACCCACACGGGGCGCTGGGGCCCTACCCTGGCTTGTGGCTGAGGAGGTGGCTTTGCAAGGCTCCCAGGAGAAGAGCATGGAGGCGGAGGAGCCCTGAAGATTACGGGGGGAGGGAGATGGAGAAGGGGGTCTTTAGCGCCCCTCTGCACTTGCCTAGTCAAGGAACGCAGGCTGAGTGGCGGCACCGCACTCTTCACTCTTGCATCATGACAAGGTCTGATGGACCTGGACAGGCCGCTAGGAAATCAGCAAATTCACTACTTTATTCTACAAGCAATTTTTAAATGTCTCTTAGTGTTGTGCCCCAGATGAGGGACTAATAAATTCAAACATCACTGACAATCCATTAGCCTAGTAAGATATCCCCTGAGCAAGGAGCCTAAGAAAAGACAGGCAGTGATGGCCCGTATGGGGTGCCCCGTGCCCGGCAATCTGCAGGGCCCGTTAGCAGTGCTTAGGAGCCCTGAACCTGAGAATCCATTTCACTCCACTCAGCCTGGGGTACTCACAATATGTTCATCGAAGGGAACATTTTTTCACATATCAACTCTTAGCATCGCTTGATAGATCTCAGTTGATAGTGTCAGAAATTGAGCTTTTCACTTAACAAAAAACAATATAGGAAAATATTAACATTTTAATTTTCTATATGGTAATAAAAAATAACTCTGTTGTATGTCCATAAAAGCTTGTCTTGTTCTCTGATAAATTCTTAGCAAGATGAGACGGGGAGGGCTTCCCGTTTGCATCTCCTCCAAGCAGGGCGCAGGGAAGTGTTTCAGAGGCCCAGGTGTGGGGGCAACTGGCACCGTGCGGCATGCTTCGCGCGGGGGAAGGCAGTGCTGTGGCGGTGCCTGCCCTCTGTCACCATGCGGTGCGATCCCGAGTGCCCGTCTTACAATGCACAGTTCTCTGTGAGCAGATGCATCTGCCCTGCTCTGCTCACAGGACCAGAATGCCCGCCTTTACGACGTACTTCTGTGCTGTTCACTGACAGCTGTCAAAGCTTCAAAGCCTAGGTAACCTCTGTCCTAGCTAAATAAGCAAGCTTTTGACTGGGCTTGGACATTCTAGCATCTACATATACAAGTTACAAGTGGCCTTTCCCAGGAAACTTGCCATGAAGGGTTATATATATAAATATGTAGGTTCTACACACGTCTACATTTTATATTAAATTTAATAGTCTCGCCCTGTGTGCCTGTTCTTCATGACCTCCTGGTGTGCCAGAGAAAGGTGACAACATAATCGCTATGAACATTTTGGGTGTCTGATTCTGATATCTGAGTTTACCTTATTTTTAGAACTGTTGATGAGTTCACAGTTTTAAGAACTCTTCCCTTTGCACCTGCAGGTCTAATATTTAGTTTCAATTTTTTTAATGAAAGGGGCATTATTGTTAATAAAATTGGCTACATATAAATAAAAATCTGCCAATATTGAAGAAATTTAATGGTATATTTAAATCTTCATGTCAATTTTATTATTCTGAAAATATATCCAACAAAATCAGGAAAAACTGAACATTTGAGCTATTCATTTTTCCTCCTCCAGTTTGTTAGTTTATTCGATCATGCAGGATGTATTTTTAGACAAGTCAAACAAGAGGCTCTGCCCATTCCAAATGGGAAATGTCACCCTCGCAGTTGCCCAGACCCAACTTGGGGCCTTCTTTGACTTTGCCTTCATATCTAACTGGTTAGAAATTCCTGTACTCCAAATACCCAATTTCTTTGGTTACAGGTAGAATAACGTTTCATATTTTAATATGCATGCTATGGTTTGTGCCTGGTTTTCCCCCCAAAGCCTCATGCAGTCATGAAAGGCTGCTCTCTGCCATGTGCCACTCTGCCTTGGAGCCAGCTAAGTATGGACTGAAACCTCCAGTAACTGAGCTAAATAAATCTTTCCTTCCCTAATTTTGAGTGTCATGTATTTGTCCCAGCAATGAGAGAAGAGCAACCAAGACAATGCATAAAATCAGAATAAATCCTATCATTGGTACTGTTAAAATCTCTCTCATACAAGCAGTAATCTAGCTATACCTAACTTTGCCCACACCAGCGCCAACATCAAAACAGCTAACATCAAGCTGGAAGCATAAGTGTTAGGAGCTTGGAAGAAAATTCCAAACTGAGAGTTAAACACATTCATTTAACCCCTAGGAATCAAGTGATTGTTGGGGTTTTGGGGAGATGAGGAATCAGAGCTATCTAATGACATTCCCATAGAGGGACTCAAAAGCTGTTTTGCTCCATGTAAGTGCGAATGTGAATTCAGTGCCCAGCACCCAGATTTCTGCTTCTTGACTAGACTCAGTAATATGGATTGCTTTAACATTCTGCCCATATACACAAAAAGTGAAAAAATAGAACAAAGTTATGGTTTTTAAGATGCTGAATAACAAGCAAAGAAGTACACCAACTCCTGAGAGTCAGGAGATAAGAAAAGCCCAATATTGCCTTAGGGAGCAATACAGCCTCGGAGTCTCCTGGTGCAGCTCTGGAAATGGGAACTCTGGTGGAGACTGGTAGGTTCCCCAAGGTGAAGATTAGAGCCCAAGGGATAGAAGCAGTTAGGACTTGTGGGGCGAAGTACCCCAACAGAGGGAGAGCGACACACAGACACACAGCTCTAGAGCCTGAGATGAGCCTCCATGGGTATTTGGCACTGTAGTGTCAATGCCAGAGCGAGAGGAAGTTCCCATAGGCTAGGGAG